TCACCTAAAAAAACAACAACATAATACGACACTTAGGCGATTAGCGGATGTGTGCCAATGGTCTTTATTTTTTTACTGTGTATTTAGTGTTGCCGCTGTAGGCTTAAAAAATATATTGCTGGTGTTTTATGCCCCATCGACACAATTTCTATCAAGTAGGAGGTGGACTTAGACTCTTCCTGTTTGGGCCAATTCGAGCTGAAAGAGATACAAGGTCCCAGGAGAAAGGTGCAAATACACGTTGCCATGAACTTGATAAAAATATTATCCATACATGGAAACGGAACCCATGCCTTCTGTTCGGTAACGAAATGCATAACAGCCATATTCACAGGCGCCAAGGCTGTAAGCTACAAATCTATTTACGTAAGCAATGTATGTGCCTTTGTACCAGTTTTATTTTCTTCACAGTGAACAAATAAAAGAGGGGGTGGGGGTTGTTTCTTTTAAAGTATTTTACGAGGCTCGCAACTACATACGGGCATATTAGCACGCGGGACACATTTGGACCACAAGTGGATCTAAAAAGTGCCCAACTTGCACACTGGACCTCCGAGATTTTTCACCCTTGTCCGAGAAGACTAGGTGTAAATCTTTTCTACCAGAAAATTAGGGGTATGATTTAAAGATAGCCGTAAGAAGGAGCTAATGAGTGGCAGAAAAGAGTTTTTCAAAAACTGTATATATATAATATACAATATGTTATTACTATTATTATTATTAGTATTATTATTACTATTATTTTTTTTAAAATTATATATAACAACACAAGAATCTTGAATTTCCCTGTTTCGCGCAGATAAAATCTTCGTGTCATCCCGCCCTTCATCATGGGAATTAGATACTCCACGCCGGCCCCTCCCACAGAGCCCTGGCCTCAATATGTGGACCTGGACACTACAGCCAGTATGAAAGAGCCCATACAGGCAAAGGTCACGGGTAAAACGATCATCTTCTCCACCCCATGAAAGCCAGTTCGTCTTAATTAAGAGTCATCACAATCATGTATGAGAGTAATTCGTTATTTAAATTTCAGGCTTTTGGTAACTGTAACACGGCATTCTTTATTTCTCATGTTTCTTCATGGTTGTTATGCTAGAGTATAGTTATGAGTTGTGAATTTCAGTGAAGTATGCAATTATTTTTAAAATTGTTTTCCTTCATTTTCTTTTCTTTTTCATTATTTAAAAAAAAATATTTTATTAATTTTTTTTAAAATTTGCAATTTGGCGTTTGAGACAATTTATTTACTTTCAAGGGTCAATCTGAAGGTCACTCTTAGGCTGTTTAATTTCTTTGTTCTTCTTTTACCGGTCAGTACGGTAGTGGTAATGGTGGTTTAGCTCCTGATCTTTCTGACCACCACGGGATCTTCTTTAACATAACCATTATTTCAATTTCCCTGATCTCCAATTCCCTATTCAAATATTGTTTTGAATACTGTCTGGTTTTCTCATTCGTTACAACTGTGTTTTCCTCTGAGCTGTGTGAGTGTGTTTGTATGTCTGTTTGTAATATGTGTGTGTATGTGTTTGAAAAGGAGTGGGGAAAAAGGGGGGGGGAGGAAGGGTTAAACTACCCCGCCTGTGAAATAGTCTATCCTGTGTCTATGAGGGCATAAAACATGTACAAACCATCAAGCCGCTCGATCAGTTGGTATCTTGCTGAAACATGGATAGCATGGCCCTGGTTAGAATCCCAACTTGGGCGTTCTTGAGCTCAGGTTGTTTTTCCAAGGCTCTCAACCCATTTGCCCGGCTCTATCTGAGACAGACATTTTTTTGTTGTTGGTTTTTGTAAAGTGTTTTACGGCGCTCGCAACTGCATAAGGTCATATGAGCGCGCGGGACACACCTAATATTTTCAGTTGGTAGGAAATTTTGAATTTTGCCCGGGTGGCGGCCGAAGCCTGCTCTTATCGATTTTAGACCACCAAGGGATCTTTAACGTGCGCAACTTGCACACGGGCCCTCCGAGATTTTTCGCCCTTGTCCGAGAAGGCTAGGTGTAGATCTTTCCTACCAGAAGATCAGGGGTGTGGCAGAAGGACAGCAGTAAGGAGGAGCCAATGAGTAACAGTAGAAAGGCTGCAAAAAGAGAGACAGACATTACATTCGGAGGTCCCATCACTTAAATAACTCAACGTCCTTTATGTTAATTTAAGGACACATTTGTGCGTGGATTTTACTGACAAACGTTGATCAAAGGCACACCAGTTGTACATTTAAAGGGACACTCAAGCGTTGGAAGTCTTTGGCGACAATTTTCTCACTAATATTACAGCTGACACCAGCAGGTGATCCCCACCTCCTTCAAGTGCAAATTATATCGCGACTTTTATTAAACATAATTGGTTGGGGTTTTTTCTTTCATCAAAAGCAAGACAAATGAGCAAGCTTTAAAATCATGTTACATGTACCAATAACACCCTATGCCCAAAACTTAACGTTTGCCTGATTCCACCACGTCGTGACACACTTACCCATGGTAAAAAAAAACC